TGAAGCTGTAAAATGAATAGAAATAGTGTCTCCCTCTTCCTTTTTCCTCCTACTCAACGCTCACACACAGTCAGCCCTGGGGTCTTTTCTTTCTGTGTGGTTGGCAGAACAGAGGAAAAGAGAGAGAGCAGGAGACTGTCTGGGCCCCTGGTGCTGTCAGGAGAAGAATAGCCGTGCTGTTAGCGCTAAATGCAAAGGGACAGGCTGGGCTATGTGTGCTGCAGCAGCCAGCGGGCTGAATTAGTGGCATTTAGGCACTGCTAAGAGGCTAATTGAGTCACTGGTACTTGCTGATTAAACCAGCAAATCCAATAATGTATGGATATGCGTGTTTGTGTTTGGTTCTGTGCTCTCTGAAAAATAAGCACGGTAGGTCTTCTGTAACCCTTTCCATTTTGGTCGAGTCGCTCAGCAGCTTAAGGAGTATCAGAATGTCTGAGGGATGTTTCGGGGAGAGCTGCCTGTATTCCCTGCTCTCCCTCGGTGGGATGGGATGAGGAGGCATTAAAACAGTTCCATTTCCGATCGCTGAACTCTACCAGTTTTAAAAATGCCTCCTTAAGTGAGCCTTGGGTTTAATAGGGGATAATCCGAATTGTGAGGTGACAGAGGGTGAAGAACTGAATCCATCCAGGGTGGGTGATCCCTCCGTGCCACGTGGGATTCTGGCTGGGGTGACCACCCCACGGTGCCCAGCCGTGACTGGGATGCACTGGTGGGGCTGGCACCGTGTGGCAGTGAGGGGTTTGGTGTGGGCAGAGAGAATTCTTGTGTCCAGTGTGCTGTAAGGGGAGCTCAGAGCTGAGCTGAGCCCCAGAGCAGCCCAGCAGTCAGTCCATGCTCTGCTCCACTGCCACCCCTGCCCTGTGTGCTCACACTGCCTCTTGGAACCGTGGTGGATGGAGTGACTGGTGGAATTCCTCCTCATCCACAGCACTCTGACTGGAGAGCAGAATCGGGTTCTGTGTTTTGCTTTGAAGTGTGCAGAGCTCTCGGGGAGGCTGTTGTGCTGAGGGCATGTTGCTCTCAGGGATCCTTTCTTCATTTCGTTTTTAACGTGGCAGAAGAATAAGGCACCTTTCAATCTAAACCAGAAGGACTTGTAGGAGAAAACGCGGTGAGACTCGGGGAGGCGAGTGGTGGGTTCAGAACCTTGTGAGTCACTGTGTGGAGATTGACAGTTTGGGAACATGAACGCGGAGGAGTGAGGACGGGATGCTCAGGGGCTGATGAGATAAGGGAGTCTATGGGGTGTCAGCAGAGGGGTCAGCAGCAGCGTGCATCTCATTCCAGAGTTAAACTCGGGCATGGGGAAATGGCATTCCTTGATGGCAAACACAATCTGACAGTTCTCAGCTCGCTACAGTATTCACCTCCTCCTCCTCCTCCTCCTCCCCCCAGCGCCGAGCAGTGGATGCTTGGGAGATCGTGTCTGTTCTTGCCTTCAAAGCAGCACCGAGAAAATATTTAAAGCCACAAGCACACCTTGGAGGCCGTGCAGGGTAAGTCAGGTTAGCTAGGCATTTATGTGCTGTAAAAATCACATCCCTCTCCAGGCAGGTCTGTTCTTGGGGCACTCAGGCTGTTTCAGCTCCTGCTCGGAGATTACAGAGCTTTACTCTCTACACTTCTGCCTTTCTTCCTCATCTTTCTTTCTTTCTTCTTCTTCCTGTGTATGTGAAAGAATTTCCCTGTGTTCGTGGGCAGGCCTGAACTGGATCAGCTCCTGGAATTAACTGCCGAGGAGTTCATTCATTCCTCCTCCGAAATTACTCGGTGTTTGCTAGGTATAACTTGTTCATGGGTGGTGTTATTGTTGTTACCAAAGGTGCAGGGAGGTAATAGTGCTGCAGTGGGTAGGGCAGAAGATTGAGGCAAGAGAACATTTTTATAGTCCCAGCTCCTGACACCATTTCACTGGGTGACCTTGGGCGAGTTACTTCACTGGCAAGTTACCTCCCTTCTCTGGGAAGAGCAGCAGTGTTTATCCCCCTGCCCAACACGGGTCTTAGGAGGCATTTTGTGAAGGGTTTTACATATACACAGCATTGTGTTCTTGCTGAGAATTGTTGTTTCTGTATGAACACGTATGGAAGGTGCCAAGACGTTACCTCACCTTGGCCTTCACACACAGCTCGTTCCAGGCTCGTGGCTGCTCTGAGTTGAGGTAGTGGCAGAGACAAGGAGTGTTGTCCTCAGGAGCTGTTGACATACTCAGAAGGGAAAGTGGCAAACAATTTCTCCTTCTCTAATTAGCACCGTGTTAAAAGAAAGATGTATTCACTGTGAACATGCAGCCCTGGTGGTGTTTCAGGGATGGGGCCTAGGGAGGCTCCTGCCAAACTCAGTATGTGTGACTTCTCTGCAGACCTTTCTGTGAGAGCCTACAATGCCACTCTCACTGCTGAGGGAGGGGAGATGTGGTGGTGAAACCTGGTGCTGTAGTTTGATTTTTGATTCCAGACAACTGAGCCCTGGCAGCCCCAGGAGAAGGTTGCACAAGTGCTGTCTCCAGGGTGTCACTCCTCTGGGGTCAAGGAAAACTTCCTCTTTTAACCAGTCCCACAGTGCAGCTGTGAAAGAGTGCTCAGAACTGGGAGGGTTTCCAGGGTGTAAAGGGAAGGAGAATGTGATCCTCATTTGTCTCATTTGATGAGGAAGGAACGCTGTAAAGGAAACCACAGCAGAGTGTGATGTGGAGGGACAGTGTTCTTTGGCAGAAACTGAGAATTATGGCCATAAACTTGCCTTATATGCTCCTGCAAACTGCAGCGTGCTGAGGGTGGGATGTGGCTCAGAGTGACTTGGTGTGGCCACATTAATAGCTGCTGCACTGAGGTGCAGTGGTGCTGGGCCCCACACACTCAGCCCTGGTGATTTCATGGTATGTAGGTGTTCCCAGGTGCCATGTGAGGAATTTGTGAGGTTTTGTTACTCTTGAGCTCTGCCAGCATTTCATTGCGTTTCTGTTGTCCTGTGTATTAAAAAATAGCCTTTCTGATTGAGCTGCCACAGGACTTCATGTTTGGGGTGAAGCTGTTGGAGGGCAGACGTGAGTACCTGGTGCTTTGTAATGAACCTTCCAGCCTTGCAGGCTGTAGGTCTTCTCAGGTGATATGAGTCAATTGTATAATGACAGCTATCAGATAACATCTTCTGTCCCTGCTCAGAGCCAGCAATCTCACCTTCAGTCTGCTGTGTTGGTGAGGCAGGTTTGGGTCAGACAGAAACCTGTCAGAGCTCCCATCTGAGCACAGAGCTGTGTTTCCTCCTCTTCTGACGTCTTTAGCTCCTGCTTTTTGCCCAGGGTGCTAACACTCATCCCTCAAACCTCATCCTATTCCCTCCTCATTGTGGGTATAATGAATTAGAAAGTGAACGTGTGACATGAAGAAACAGAACAGGGTGTAGAGTGGATTAAACGTCGTCGTTGTCCTTGTTACTTAGACATTTCTGGAGCACTGTGGTCCTCTCCTCCACAAGCTCCATCAAGCTGAGTGGTCAAAGAGGTGCAGTGGGTTTTCACACGTCGTAGGGGAGTTCTGTGATGAAATAATTGGGGTTTATTGCAGTAGTAGAACATCTGGTGGAAGGGAGTTGTGAGCTGTACTGCACAGCCACACGTCATGGCTGGGGGCACTGCTGAAGGAGGAGGAATTTTGTGACCCGTTTCCTTGTCCTCCTGCCCCGACTCACCGACAGTCTGAAAAGGATAGGTTTGAAAATTCTTTATTCCGTTAAAGCTGCACCCTCGCTTGGCTTTAGACAGAGGATTTGTGTAAATCAGAGCTTTCCACAATTGGCAAGAAGTTTCAGCTGAAGCAAATACTTTGTTTCCTGGTTTTAAACACAAGTGCACTGATTAGCACTTCCTCTCTGTGTTTGTGGCTGACTTCACCTTGTCACGGAGATATGTGTGTCACTTAGCACCTGATTCTCCTGGGCAGAGGTCAGAGAGCTCTCATCAGAGCTGTCTTTCTGTGTGTACCTAAGAGACTTTCCCATACACTCACACACATCTCATGGCACCTCTGCCTTCTCTTCCTCAGGTGACAAAGGGAGCTTAGTGTGAATGAGAAGGAGTTTGCACAGTTCTTACCAGGAGTAATATTGCCTGGAAAGCACCACTGGGAGCACTGCAGATGCTTATGGAGAGGTCTTCTGGTTTGAGGTTGGCATTCTTACCTTTGAAAGCAAGAGGGGGATTTGAATATGGGCAATTAGTGCATATTAAATGTGCCTTTTTAATCTGTGAAGCACCTGAAGATGCACTGACACGACTGGTGCTGTGGAAGGGTAGGTCTGTGGCAGTGAAAAAGGAATCCAGCAAATTTCTGCTCGGTGAGAGGGTTGATTGTACTGGAATGGAATTGTTTAGCTCAAAAGGTTCTGGTTTGAGAAAATTAGAAGGGCTTCATTCCTGTCATAGCAGAATTGGGTCACTGTGTTTAACTGGGTCACAGGAGTTTCCAGCACGGGAGGCCTCTCACCATGGTCGGTGAGGGTGAAGAACAAAACAGCCCAGTCCTGTTAACTCTGCCTGGGAGTGCTGCCTGGAGTCCTGGGGCTCAAGAGACACCAGTACTGCTGGACAGAGCTGTCTGGTGGCTGACCTGGGGCCAGGTCTGCCTTCTGCTGTGGCCAGAGACTGTCACCTATTCCCCTGCCGAGAGAAGGACGCAGAGACCTGTGGAGCTGTGACTGGAGCACTCCCCTTTTCCAAGGAATCCTGCTCTGAAAGAGGCTCCCACCCTCTGGGAAGGCTTCAGGAGCTGTGGAGCAAACCCCTCTCATTAGGGAGAGAGAGAGAGAGAGTCTCCCCGTTTGTCTGGGTGCCGTGAAAAGAGGCAGTGTCTGCAAACCCAAACAAAACCCCCGGAGCACAACAACTGGCCGCGTTCCACGAGCCAGCCCTGCGCAGCCTGGCCGCGGTACCAGGGGCACGGGCTGTGACTCACAGCCGCTTGTATGGCCACAAAGCCTTGTGATTTGTGTCGGAGCCGGGAGGCTCCTCCAGTTCAGCTCCGCGGGAACACAATGTTCAAGACAATGCTGTGGGATCCAGCTGGAGCTTTAGCATTAGTGCAGCGTCAGCCAGATGGAAATGAGGTGGAGAGGGCTGCAGAGGGCTGGGGGATGGGGAATCCCTTCCCTTTGCAGGGGAAAGAAAACAATAGTAAGCCTGAGATACATATTCACATGTGCCCGCGGTGCTCAGTGCTCTGATGGGCACGTTCTCAGCCCGCTGGTGCCAGCAGGGTCAGATGTGCTGTGTGATTGATGCAGCAAGCAGGGAGAGCTGTGTGGCTCTGCCGGGTCGGGATGGGCACTGACACAACCAGACTTTGCTCCTCGCTCCGACTGTCAGACCCCAGGGAGGCTGTGTGTGCAGCTGGGCACGCCTGGTGTCGGCCTGGGTTTCCCAAAGTACCAATACTGCAAGGTGGAAAAGTAACTCCTCCAAAACTTCAGAATCACTTCTGTGTGCACCACAGCTGGGAATCCGTGTGAGCCCAAACTTGTCCTTTCTGACACCTGCGACTTCTGCTGATGTGAGTGGATGTGCTGATGGATCCCTGAGCACTGAGCAAGGTCCAGGCTCTTCCCACTGGTTCCACAGGATTGCTCTGTTCTCTGACACGGCTGTGATGGGGTGAGGTGTCATCTCTCTGGGTAAGATGGTAGTGAAGTGAAGCTTCCAGCTCCTATTTCTGCACGTCGATGCAGTTGAAGTTTTAGATCTCTCGTTGCACTTGATGCCAGAATTTGACATGATGAAAGTAATTTCACATTAGTAGTTTCTTTGAAGAAAAATCTGTTCTGTTTCATCTCTCACTTGCCATACAAGACTGGAAATTGTAAACTCTGATGAGCCTCTGGAAAAATCTGTGTGACTGTGGAGAAACTGAGAGTGTTGTGTGTTCGTGGAGAAGGCAATATAACTTTCTCCTACTCCTTGTTTCCTGGCTGTACAGCCTTCTACTACTGTCCTGAGAGAGAGTGTGAGGTCCACCAAGCTGCTCCCCTTCACATCTTGCTTTAAATGAACCCAAGTCCATGGAGTTCACCTAAGGAGCTTGGTAGGTGGCTTTGCCTTGGAGCCATGGAGGCAATTCATAATGTTTGTCTCTCCATTTTCTATCAGTTTCCCATTTGAACTGAGCAGAAGCAACACCTGAATGCAAAGAGGCAGTTCTGCTCTTGCAGAAATTTAACCAGAAGAAATCTCTTCCTTTCTCACTGTCGTATTCAC